GCCCAGATCTCCCGAGCGCCCCGATCCGGCGTCCTGGGGTCGCGGCGCCATCTTCCCGGCGGGCACTCACCGAAGGATTGGAGGTTCTGGATAGTGGACATGCGACACTAGTGTGAGGCCGCGGGGGACGAATCCTGCGAGGCCCGCCCGGACGCGAGAAAGGAGGCTGCGGCTGCGAGAGGACGGGAAGAGGAGGAGTAGGAGGAGGAAGGCTGCGGCGGCGGGCGGCGAAGGCAGGAAGAAGCAGCAGCAGAAGAAGGACCGACAGGGAGGGGAGGCGGCGCTGCGGCTGCTCACCCAAGATGGCTGCCGCCGCTTTTGTACTGGGCGCAGCGTCACGTGACGCACGCAGTGCCCGTCGGGAGGCCCCACTCGGAGTCCCCGCCCCGCCGCTGACTTTAGCCCCTCCTCTGGCGCATCTGGGGACTCTCGCGGCCTCAGGGCTGGAGGGGTGGGGGCTAGACCGTTGGCGTTGTCCGAGAATGTGGCCTCGGTGGGTACAAAGTGATGGGTCCCTCTAATACTAGTGTGCTGTCACTGCGTTCACAGTGGAAAGAGAAGTGAGGCGTTGCTCAGATGTTAATGACAATGTAGGTGTAATCTTTCCCCCCATCCAGTGGTAGGGACATCACTTCAGTTTTATCCATGGGCCACGGATTTGCAAACTGCAAGCTAAGAGTACCTGGAAATAATTGTCTTTGTGCTTAACTATAGGATGGATACCATTTATTGAGTGCTTGCTCTTTACCTCTTGCAGTACTAATAACCTTTGTAACTATCCTATGAAATCCTCCATCTCTCCTCCTTCTCCTCTTCTTCCCTACTCTGTGTAACATGCAAAAATAGAGGCTTTTGTAGGGAAAACAATTTGCCTAAATAGGAAACTCTTAACTCTGAAGTTTGTATTTTTGGACTTCTAATCTGGTTAAAAAAAAAAAAAAAAAAAAAAAAAAAAAAAAAAAAAAAAAAGAATTCCTTTTCCCGAAGATGTAAAATTCCAGTACTTCCAAGGCAAGGAGAACCCAAACCCTTCTGTGGAAATGCTTTCAAGTAACCCTTAATACTTTGGTTTTATGTGCTACTTTAATACTGCAGTACACCAACTTATAAGTAAGTTTTAATGCTCTGACTGGGAATGAACAAAGTGCTTTCCTGATTGCTGGCTGCACACAACCATTCTGCACTGCATTGTTTCTCAGAAGGAGCCAGAGTGCGCCAGTGAAGGAGAGGAAAGAGAAAAATCCAGAAATTTCAGGGTTTCATGGTCATTGTCTCTGTTGGACTCACTTTCTTTTACATTTGTGTCCGAAACCTCCCGGCGCTGAAGAATCTTCAGTCAGCCAGAATGAGTACAGGTGGAAACACCTGTGGTTATTAAAGGCTCTGCTGACTGTTCAGCCTGCCTTCCTGTTAGACCTGTGCTCCCCAATACAACAGCCGCCGATCCTGTGGGTCCTGGGCTTGTAGCCGGCTCAAACCGAGATGTGCGGTAGGTGCAAAATACACAGCTGACTTCTAAAGACATGATTTGTCTTCATTTCACCTGTTTCTTTTTAAGCATGGTCATTAGAATAAAAACATTTGTGTAGTTCAAGTTTTTATTAGACTTTCGGTTTCCAGTGAATACATTTTACCCATATGTGAAATTATAATAAAATGAAACTGAAAGCCAGGCATAGTGGCACAGGTCTATAATCTAAGGACTCTGGGAGGCTGAAGCAGGAGGACCAGAAATTCAAGCCCAGTCTGGGCAATTTAGCAAATTAGCGAGACCCTGTCTCAAAATGTAAAAATGACTGGGAATGAAGCTCAGTGCCAAAACCCTATATTCAATGCCACAATAGAGAGGGAGGAATAAAGGAGGGAAGGAGAGGGAGAGGAAGAAGGAGGAAGAAAAGAAAGAAGAGAGAAAAGAGGCACTGAAAATTAGTATCTTTGGTTCTAAATGGTGCCAGACTAGGTTATGGCGATTACTTCTTGGTATATTTCAGAAAGGAGTTTCGATCACTCAGAGCAATAGTATTGACTAAGGAATCAGGGAAGATAAAAGTTGAACACTTGGAAAGAGAAGTTCCCAAAGCAGGTCCCAGGTCTGACTCAGCCCCAGGCAGTGACAATACAAGCAGACAGCCTGGAGAGACCCTTTGTCTGTGGGATGGAGACAAAGCGGCTGGATGGAGGAGCTTCGCCTGGAGCCACAGAGCTGCCCTTGGGCCATGTGAAGGGGACATGATGACATAGGTCAGCATCTCACAGTGGTGGGCTTTGTGCGGCTGCTGGCGTCAAGGTGTGCTGTGGCCAGGATCCTGGTCCTTGTCCCCACAGGCTGCCTGCTGGACAGAGCAGTGTACTGTGCTGAGGACCCCAGCAGCTGAGGGAGAGACAGCCCACTGCCTCGCTCTGTATCCCCTGAAGGTTGTGCAGAGATGAGGCTTCTGCTGCTGGCCACGCAGCTCAGGGCTCTCTGCTGCCCAGCAGAACTTAAATTTGTGCTGCAGTCTAAGAGGTGCTTAGTCAGCACTGCTTTGTCTGTCCTTCTGATGCAGAGAACTTTTGTAAATAATCGAAAAACCTATAAAATGTTAGTAAAATGTAAAATGACTTCTGTCTCTAACAGCAATCTGCTTTATTTAGTTCAAACTTAGCAGACACTGGAGGCAGTGACCATGAAGTGGGACATCTGGCCTCATCCCTAACCCTGAACACCCCCTTCCTGTTCACTAGAACAGAGAGCTAGAGGAATCTTAAGGTAAACTCCCCAACTGCAAAGAGCTGTTCCGCCTGGGTTAGAGTGAACCGTCTGTGACTGTGATGTGAACTGTGACAATGAAATGTGACCGCCCAAATAAAGTCAAGGCTGTAAAACCCTGTAAAAGGAGGAGTTGTAACCCAGTGTTTTTGCTGATCCAGGCACTGCTTAAGTGCGATCGGCCCTCATCGATGAGTAAATTTGTTATTTTACTTCCATTCTGCTGCCCCTGCGTGTCGCTTGCAGATTCCTTCCGCAACACTTCACAGGGCCACTGCTTCAGCTCCTTCTTCTTTTCCCGTTAATCTCTTGTACATTAATTCCATCTTTTTTGTTTGTTATGTTTTCTTGAGACAAGGGCTCACAGGGTAGTCTAGGCAGGACTTGAACTTGTAATCCTTCTGCAATCAGCTTTCTGGGCACTGGAATTATAGGTGTTTGCACCATAGTTTGCTGCCGGGAGAGCTTTGCCACTGCACACCTGCAGGGTTCAGACCTTCTTGTAAACCAGATCGGGAAACCTGTTCTTTTGCTAGGTGTGCACCCTAAAGAAGCCCCTTGCACTTGGCATGTCTTAGGGCCAGAAAAAGTGAATGCATCATAGGCAAAAGGAATGTCCTGAAGTTAGGGAGAGAAGCTCTGCAGCCTCTCCAGGAAGGCCCTGCCATTCCCCACTGGGAGGGCTTCGTGTTCTTCCCCTGGCCCGTGAAGCGGGGACTCCCCATTCCCAAGGGACCCCGGAGATGTCCACATTTCCAGGAGGCCAAATATGAAGAGAAAACCCAAGAATGAGTGTCCTCTGCTCACACTAAACATCCTAACTTGTGTTTCCCATGCCTCACCAGGGAAGGTTAGCAGCAGTGAGACTGAACTTACTTTCCTGTGTGGAGCTGTGTTGGCAGGCGGTCAATACGTACATGTTTCAGTTGTGAAGAGCTCAGTTGCTATCTGTCCAGAATGAGGCGCAGTTTCTATAGAGTTCTGTGGGATCAGAAGATGTGCAGAAGAGAAACTCATAACCCAGGCTTTCTTTTCTCTCTCTTTCTCTTTTTTGGACGACTAAGTGGGATGGGGTGAGTGGGTTCTGTGTACAAAGGCATTTGATTAAAAACATCGGTAGCAATGATAGCTGTCTTTGTCTGTTTATAAGATATGACAGAATGCATGGGACTGGATGATTTATGAAGAACAAGAAACCAGTGGCTCACAGTCCTGGAGACTAGAAGTCCAAGGTCAGGGTGCAGGCAAGTTTGGAAACTCAAATTCCCAAATGGTGTCCTGGGGAGCTGCACCCTTCAGTGGGGTGAAAACTTCATCCTCACGCAGCATAGTAGGAAGGCCAGGAGGCACAGAGGCCTGAACTCACCATCTGTTGTGGTTTAGACCTGGGATCCCCCTAAAGCCTCGTGTGTTTGGAAGATGATTGGGTCATGGGGCGCCATACACATCAGTGGGTGAGTGCTGCCGTTAGGAGGTGGGCCTGGCTGGAGGCAGTCGCTGGGATGTGACCTGGAAGGCCCATCTCCCTCCCTGGCTCACGCCCTCTCTCTTGGCTTCCTGGCCACCATGATGTGAGCAGCTTTCCTCCGCCAGCCCTTCTGCCATGTTGTTTTCTGTTTTGAGCCTGCCAAAATTTCTGAATTTTTGAAACCGTGACCCAGAATAAACTTCTCCTCCTTCAAGTTGTGGGTGTTGAGGAGAAAGTGAAGTGACTAAGACACCGTTTTATGGCGACATTGATCTGTCTGAGAGCAGAGGCCATTCGGTCCTGTATCCCTACACTATTGTACTGGGGAGCAAGTCTCCTATACATAAATTTCTGGGAACACATTCAAACCATGGCAACATGTGGGTTATTAGCCTATAATATCTCGAATAGTCACAGAATATTATTTTGCACAGAGTCAAAATTTATGCATGTGTTAGAGTCACTTTCTTTTCTTATTTTCAGGGAGCTTGTAAATCTTAAGGGAGAATTAAACCAAGCTCACATGTAATTATAAAGTAAACAGAATAAGAAATTTCAGGGACCTGGGAGTTGCAGAACTAATGGAATTAATTCAAGAAATCCGAGGAAATTTCCCTGAGGTTCCTGCTCTCCAGGGGTGGTCTTAGGGGGGAATGTGGACACATGGCCATGCCACTCAACATCTGATCTCAGGGAAGGGCAGGGATGCATCCAGAGTTCTTCTCTTCCATTCTACCCTGCTGCCAGCAAGAACTGCAGAGGTCCTGGAATTTCCCCTCATTGGAAGCTCCCACAGCTGTGTGGATGCTGACAGAAGACATAAGACTCCTGGTTGGAGACCGAGATGTTGTTGTTCTTGGCAGAAGCAGTTGCCAGAGCTCAATGCTGAAGCCGTACTCCCTGCCCACAAGTCCTGTGTGGCAGCACCTAGGGCCTGGCTGGCGCCCACACATATGGGCTGTGTTACAGGGAAGGAGCCAGTTCTCGTGGAGTGAGCTGCTTTGACTCTGAGCAATAACAGCCTTGTCTGGAGGGAGATGGTGCCTCTTCCCTCAGTGCTCCCCATGTATACAACCCTGAGAAAAGGCTGAGATGAGAGAGTCTGGGCCTTGCGTCCTAACACACAGAGCCCTGAGCACCCCTGGGGGATTGCCTTTCCCAGCGACCGTGGGCGCTCTCTCTTGAGGGCACCATGGCTGCACAGTGGACAAGCGTCCTGCACAGTCCCAGGCCATGACTCACATGTCCTCTTCTCGATACCTGACCTTGCCAGCCTCCCGCTGCCATTTTCCCCTTGGCCTTGGCTCCCACAGAGCCAGCCGGTCCTGGGAATTAAGCTGGGGCTGGACAGGGACCTGGCTTCGGTGGCCCTCAGTCCTTGACTTCATGCTGCAGCTGGCTTTCCTAACAGCTCTGCATGGGCTCCAGTCACAAATGCTGCCTAGAGAAGTGGCATTTTTCTTGCCTTTGCCACTGACCCTTGAGATGTCCTCCCATAGACTCCTGGAGCAGCGCTGGCTTCATGGTCCTATGTATGTCTTGGGTATACTCAGGCCCAAGGGCTTATCCAAAGCATAGAATTCAAGCACGGAAGCCTAAGACTTCGATCTTGTGTCTGTCCTTGTGCAGATATCAGTAGCTGTGAGATCTTTCAGTCTCAATCTCCCCGGGAAAGGGCCTCATAATTCCCGTTGCATAGCTTTATACTGAGGCCATCAGAGGTGTCTGGAACGTTCAGAATAGGGGCTGGCGCAGGAGATGAAGTGTGGTGAGCACGCCCGGAAGTGATTCTCACGCGAGCCTGGGGCACTCAGTGCAGGCTGCGTCCGCCTATGGATATATACGCATTTCTCCTTTCGTTTCCTGTGTGCCGGTGCTCTCCCGAAATCGCATTATAGCCAGTCTCTTTGGTTCATTCTAATGCAATTTTTCCTGGAATTGTGGCCATCATTTTATGCAACCTAATTATATCGAATAGTCCCAGAGGGGTAGATTCAGAATAAAGAGCAGAAATAAAACTCCTTTATTACCAAACATTCTTGTAATTTCCACCGTGTGAAGGAGGAGGCCATGCGGTGTGAATCCCCCAGGCCAGGGCACCCTCACCCTTCCTCCTCCTGCTCACACACCCATATGCTTAGGACAGGGCACCCCCCAAAAGCTACATTATGTCTGTCTTCCGATTAGACACGACCGTGACCTTACCAGATCCATTCCTGGAAATTCATGCAACTTTGGATTTAAGAACAGATGTTCTTGGGCCAGGGATGTAGCTCAGTGGTGCTGCTGCCTGCCTCGCAAGCATAAGAACCTGAGTTCGATCTCTGGTAACAAATAACAATAACAACAACAACAAAAAAACCAGACATTCTTAGAGCCACATCTGCTTAAATCAAAGTCATTTCAATCTTTGTTTTTGAAATAGATTTGGAAAATGTGAGTAGCTATCGTCAGTTGTGGGAATTCATTACAAGTGAACCTGGGGCTGCTGATTGAGTCTTGATTATAAGTTCAGGTGACCTGGAGGCGGACTCTTCAGGCCTCCCTTTCCACCCTAGACACAGCTCCAATGGGATGGTGGATCAGGCTCTCATTTCTGTAACACTCAAACAATGCCGCTTCTCTGCCACTTGCTCCGGAATGCTTTGGTGTAGCAGACGTGAAACCTTGAGAGGAGATCGCATCGAACAAGGTGCCTCACCCTATGGTTCTGCTCAGCAAAGAACTGATCGGTCTCCTTGAGAGGAGGAGAGGAAGCAACTTTCTCACGAGAGAGGGTGAAGTTGTTTCCATCACTGTGACTGGAGCCTGGCAGTATCCGTTGCAGTACTGGCTAGGGACCCGTTTCTACGCCACTTTGTGACCGTTTGTGTGCATTTCTTCCCCTCCGCCTGTGTGTTATTTTATCATACAGTTTATCTTTGTGCCACACCGTTCTCGCTTGTTCAAAATAATCAATGATATTTAAGGTAGTTTGCATAGTAAGATAAGGGCTTTGTGCATCTGTCCACATACTTTCCATTTCCAGTGCTGTCTTTTCTTGTTGAATGACAGAGGCCCTGGGACTCTGGACGGTCTGCCTGGAATGTGCAGGACGCCCCTGCGGTGAATGGTCCTCTGGGGAATCTGGTCAGTGCAGTTGAATTTAGCCTTCACCTGCCTGGGGGGAAAGCCCCACACCTGTACCTGGAGGAGCTGGGGTGCCCTGTGCTCTGCAGGTGGGCTTCCCTCGGCCTGTGCGTGACAGAGAGGGTCAAGCCAGCAGTGTGGGCAGTGGGAGAGTGCACCGGATGCACAGGTGTGTGTCTCCTCTGACCTCTAAGGCCACACGTGGGCGGACACCATAGCTATGCCGGTTTGCCACACCCCTCAGTAAGCTACAGTGACAGCAGCGTCCCTCAGGAAAGCTGAAGGAAGGCTCGCTTGACTGAGTATTGCATTGCTTACTGCTGCTTATTTAGCGTTTTTGATCATCCACCTTGCAAACAAGGTACCTCAATTCTGAACATG